AAAAGAAAGAAAAGGAATAGTATAGTAGTAGCGTATCTGGGTGCGATCGTTTTTGGCAAAGAGGCCGCAATTTTCATTGTGTAAAGAATTAGATGATATATTATTCACAAACTTTACTAGAATGTCACGAACAGACTTTGAAATACTTTTGAAGAAAGTAATTAGAACTTATTATTATTTAGACCTCTCGCTCTCCCTGCGGAAGCAAGACGGCAAGCCGCAAAACAAACAAGTGCGAATGAGATATATACAAAAATTGCTAGGAATTTCCAAGTCCATTGGATATTCGTCAATTCGTATCTGCGACATTGAGCGATATGGAATATCTGGAGCAATTAGAAGCAATATCGCCGAAATAATTTATTTAAATTGCTCCAGATCGGTCCATTCGTGTCGCCGAGCAATTATTGCCCTCGTGTAAGCGCACCTTTAGTTACGTATTTTTGGATCAGATATATACTCCACAGAGAACACAACAGTTGAGCGTTTATATTTTAGAAAACGTATAAAAGCATAAAGTAAAACTATTGCCATAATATTAAAAAAAATACGTATAAAATTAAACACCTTTTTACAGCAACACAGATTAAAAATATCTGATCTGAAAGAGATCTGCAAATTTTTATAAGTGAATGAATAAAAACAAAATATTTACCTTACTTTTAAGTAATTGTACATATAACACACTTAAACTATATGTTAACGTTTAACACGAAACTTATTTAATATATTGTTAAACTCAAACTCAAAATAACTTTATTAATATAATATATAACCAAGTACACTTATATACGTTTACAGCAAAAATTTTATATTGGTTCTAAATTCACATTTACTACCAGTTCTCAGATTGAGAGTATTTTGTGTAGTGGATTGAAACAGCTATCTTAAGCAGTGCCAAATAAGGTTGAAATTCATTTGTAACTTACAAGAGTTTCACTCACAAACGTTAATATAAAGGTGGGAACTGACCAAAGTTACGAGGTGTAATGTAACACGTTACACAGCGAGCATTCGAGCAGTCAGTACGTCATGTTACGGGGAAATCAGCGAGCAACGAGCCGCTCGTTGCTCGCTTTGAATGCTCCACCCGGCTGTCGGTTTTTTTGGCTAAACCTTTGACTGTTACGCGGTTCAGTCAGTACGCGTCGTACGTCGCGAGTGATCATGATTATGATTTTAAATAAATTATGTATTTTTTAAGTACTTTTGGTCCAATTAAATTCAACAGTTCTTCAAAATCGAGACATGCGTACAAATTTTTTATACTGTCCAGTAATCTTTTGGTTTTTTAATATTGCAATCAATAACAAACCACCTCATAAGCCTGTATTTTTAAATAAGTTTGATGTCCAGTAAAATTTTTTCTTCTTCTTCTTCTTAATTTGGATGAAACAATAATGAAATAGAATGAAAGATATCAACACGTCTTCGCTGTCTGCCATCTCGCGAACACTGGTGGGGAAAGTGGAGCACAGAGTTTTGACGAGCATGTTACGCCGATTTTAGAACACAGCATAACATGCTCGATGCGTCACAGGATCGATGGGAATGATACATTACACCTCGTAACTTTGGTCAGTTCCCACCTTAATGTAAAGGTGGGAACTGACCAACGTTACGAGGTGTAATGTAACACGTTACACAGCGAGCATTCGTGCAGTCAGTACGTCGTGTTACGGGGAAACAAGCGAGCGACGAGCCACTCGTTGCTCGCTTAGAGTGCTCCACCCTGCTCTCGGTTTTTTGGCGAATCCTTTGACTGTTACGCGGTTCAATTAGTACACGTCGCACGTCGCGAGTGATCATGATTATGATTTTCTAAAATTGTGTCTTTTTTAAGTACTTTTGGTCCAATTAAATTCACGAGTTGTTCAAAATCGATAGGAGACATGCGTACAAAGTTTTTATACTATCCAGTAATCATTTGGTTTTTTAAAATTGCTATCAATGACAAACCACCACATACGCCTCTGTTTTTAAATAAGTTTGATGTCCGGTAACGATTTTTCTTCTTCTTAATTTGGATGAAACAATAATTAAGTAGAATCAAAGATACCAACGCGTCCTCGCTGTCGGCCATCTCGTGAACTCTGGCAGCGAAAGCGGAGCACAGAGTTTTGACGAGCATGTTACGCCGATTTTAAAACACAGCGTAACTTGCTCGATGCGTGACACGCTCGATGCGAATGCTACATTACACCTCGTAACTTTGGTCAGTTCCCACCTTTAAGCGCGTCTCGTAGTTAGAAGTATTTATTACACGTTCAGTAACTGGGGCTGAGTAGGTTTGAAAAAGTTTTTACTCTTTCAAGTTTTGACTCGCCGACGGACTAGAAACATTTTCGTGCTCAAATGAGGGAGCTTAGTATTTACACGTCTCGAGCGATACCTAGTGCTTAAACCTGTGATTTGATATACGCATAACGCTAGATTAAGCGACTTTGTACCATGAAAAGGGACATTTTATTTCGATTTAGCGACTAAAATAATTTAGCGATATTTCTGGGCCTTTTTAAACATGTTTTTTTTTTAAATTATAATAATTTTATCCTAACAGGCTTTGTGAACGCGCTACTCAATGTCAAAATACATACAAAATACATAAAGAAGTCTGTTTTTTTCGGGTTGTTTACTCTGTGGTCTCTTATATGTACCATAACCCCGATGTTTGTGCCAATCAAATAAACCTTATTTTGAGTCAATTAAGGTCGATTTTTCATATTATATACAGTCCTAGGTTGGAAACTGGCGGGACCAACGGAAATTTCTCAAAGGACACTGTTGTATGTATACTATTTGTTGTTGCTGTTGCCAATTAATTTGTATTCATTTCGTCGTAATATTTCTTAATTTCGCCGCATATACTCTTATACTATAGTGAATCAATTTTGTTGAATCAATACATCATATACTCAAGAATACAAAAAGGAATGGGAGGACAATCCTCAGCTCAAGGGATGGCTAGTATCATTTATGGCAATGATACTAAAGCTATGTGTCGCTGCTGCCAAACCCAATTTTATTTTAAAATAAGCAAAATCAGAAAATATTTTGAAACGAAGAAACATAAATTGAAAATGGACATAAAATGGCATATAAGCTTTTGCCAATACAAAAGTTCTGATTTAAGATTTTTTTAATCACATAAAATGAACATAACAAATTAATAATATAGTGTTTGACATTACTTTCATAAAAAATGTGGTAATTGAATGTCATCGTCCTGTCATTACCTAACGAGATACCTATCGGAGTAGCCCAAAAAAGGAAGCTCGTTTATGCGGATTAAGAATGCAATACTTACATTTTTGAAGTTTTTCTTCAAAAATTTAAATATTACAACAAACTTTTATTATCTAGCGACTTTTTAACACTTATGTCTAGCGACATTTGCTTTAACCGAGTTGGCAACACTGAATTTAAGCCTCAGTCCTGACCAGTGTGAACGTTTTTAGTATATTCTGTACCAAATTGGTATAATTTGGGCTCCGTGTAACTAATTTAGTATTTTTTTGGTATCCTTTTATATTCTGGTATTTTTTGGTACATTTAACCTTTCAACATTTTAAAACACATTTTGATATATTTTTGGGCTGGGCGGGAAACAGTCACTTCCATTCGTTCGTATTTCGTTCACATGTTTTTGTCTTTGTCTGATGTTTACCGCAACTGTATCATTTTGTCTCTTTCGATCGGTTAATGCTGACAAATTCGCGAATCGTGCTTAAGCTACGTATTACTATCTACGTTACATGCTGTATAAAAAATACCACGGATGTTTTAGTTCTTTATTTATTTCTCTCTGTGTGCATGTGTAGTGAAGATAATGAAGCGTAAATACGATCAGAAATATAGATCTGAGTGGGAACAAAATCCTGAATTTTCGTCATGGTTGACAAAAGATAAAAATAATGAGAACGCCTTGTGTAAAACTTGTGGAGCAACATTTTTAAGCAGAATCGCTACAATTAAAAGTCATGCATATTCTGAAAAACATCGGCAGAAACTTATACATTATAGTGGACAATCCAAGGTAAGAAAGCTAAGCCCCCATTAACATATTTATAAGATTATTGTGTCCCTTATTTTTTTATGGCATATGAATTAATTGTCCTACTTCTACAGGCTGTCCGATGAATCTTGGATAGTACATGTACAGTTGTTCACACATGTATAATTGATTCTCAAGCGATTTCAAGCTGAATTTTAAAATTTTCATAAATGAGACACTAGTATTTTAAAATAAAAAAAGGTATTTTACTTATTTTTTACGATACGAAAATTAATCAAATCCTGTTTATTTTCAGAACGATGATAAATTACTTCAAAGGAAAGAACCCATATCTGAAGAAGTAAGAAAAGCAGAGCTTATATTTTATGCAGCGTTGGCAGAACAGAACATACCATCTCGGGCCATGGATCATCTCAGCGATTTAGTCGGCAAAATGTTTTATGATTTGGAAATCGCAAAGGGCTTTTCCTGCAAACGCACTAAATATGCTCAGTTAGCTCAGTGCAGCGAATACTGACTTAGTATTTGTAATAAAACTTATTGTAAATATTTATTATTATTTTAATATGTCTGTATTATGAAGGTGTGTAATTGGTAAAATTAAAAAGTAAGTGATAATAAGTGTTTTAATAATAAAAAAATCCTCTTTTTCTTTTAGTATATTTTTAGTATAATTCAGCATGTGTTTTGGTATTATTTAGTACTGGCACCTTGTAGTTTTGGTAGATCGTCATTTTTTAAAACGGTCACACTGGTCATGACTCCTGAGTCCTGACAGTTCATAGTTCCTCTACACTTGAGTCTTGACGCTTACTGCGAAATTTCCGTTAAGACGCAATTGAAAAAAAATTAAGAATAAGAGTCCTATAGACAATAAGACTACAAAAACGGTATTAATTGTATAAATACCAGGTTTATATGTACTGAAAGTAAAATTGCGCAACATTATAATAATTTTTGTTGTACAGATTTCTAAGGCGTAATTATGCAGAATTTTCACGGTGGTGATTTCAATAACGTTGCAGAAAACAAGATCAAGATGGTCCAAGATAAGGTAAGAAGGTTTTACTAGTTTACACTAACAAAATTTTTACTTACACGATGTAAGTAACCCGTTTATGACGTAATATCTGCAACTAACCGGCAACCAACACCATAAGTAGGATCGAATTCTTAATGCATGCGCTGGCTTGACTGTGGAAAGTCCTACTTATATTTAAGATAAGAGTTTGAAAAAAAAGTAAATTTTGTACATTTGACCGCTTAGTCGGCGATTTATTTAATCGTTACGTTTTCGTGGAGCTGTAAATATATGTATAAATAAGAGCTTCAAAACTGACAAGTAATACGGCGTATGCAAGGCTTCTAGAAAGTTTTCTGTAACAGAACCTGTACTGATACTTAAAGAACCCTTTTAATAATTTTTCTTTTGCTAAATTTGCTTTTTCGAATCGAGGCCTTTTAACAATGGACTCATTTACGCGACGAAAATATGACGGAATCAATCACAAAACAAAATCCTTTTCATCAAATGACATAGCAATTTGTAGTTAGTTTCCTATAAAAAAGGAAGCTTTTACTAATAATATATATTGCTACAAAACAAACCTGTGTTACCATTATTGTATGAACACACCTCTTTTGGTAGTATATTTCTTAAATAGAATATTATGTACTGGATAACATTTAATTTATCATATGAATAATGTACTTCAGTCTAATCTTCATACTCATATGAAAAACCTTGATGACTCCTTCGATGATGAAGCCTACACAGGGAAGGCTCAAGCTCAAGCCGATAAAGATGTTAAATATCGTCATGATCTAAAAGAGCAGTGTGAGGACAACTATAAGAGGGGGCAGTTCGATTGCGCTGAAGCACATGCTGAGACATCGAGAATCCAACAGGCTGGGAACTATATGATGACACAGCATCACAAGTAAGTCAAGTTTTTTGCAAGAAATGTATAATTCTACTACTACTTAAATCTTATTGAATAAATTCTATCACATTTGGTGATATTGTATCAAGTAGATTATTTAAAACTGTAGTTAGTAAAGTAGTGTGAGAAAAGGTTAAATAATTGTTTTGGTAATTGCATAAATAAATGATAGATAAAATTAAACTTAGAAATTTATGAGATTAGGTCAGACATTTATCCTTAATATTATGCGTGGGTGAAGCAGAACTACGCTTTAAAGTCTTGAACAATTTCAGAGATCTTCAACAAAAACATGATGATTCAGTAAAACTTCACGACGATATAGAGAGTTTTAAGAAAGACTGTGTCGATTTTAGGGAATTGCAAAAGGCATTGATTAATGTAGAGGAAGACAGAATTGACAAACAGGATCACGAGATCTCTGACAGGAGTCTAGTGGTGTAAGGGCCTAACGTAGTGTCTTGCATTGTGCTTAATTCTGAATTGATTTTATTTATACCTTTATATGGTATGAAATAACATATAAATTACTCGTATTTCAATTCAGAGTTTGAAAATATCATTGCTCACAAAACACAACTTCACCGCTTGAAATCTTTAATATTTTTATTGATGCAACACTTCTTCATTGTTTTATACCTTAGCTACCACTTTTGTGTCTTTGAATAGCCGCGTACTGACTGAGCGAGCAGTTCGGAAGAGCCTCGACGTTTGCTTGCAAGTTTGCCGCGGAGGCAGCCTCGGTCTGTAAGTTTTCTAATCCGAGGCTGCCTCGCGGGCAAGTCCGAGCCATGGAGCATCGACGCTCAGTTTAACTTGAAGTCGAATAGAGACCGCGCGTGCCCGTATAGTTTGCCCGAGACCACCATGAGGCCGCACATTCGGAAAGCTGTCGCTACCACTGCCTTTTTAATAATTCTAACTTGAAAAAAGAAAACAGAAAACTAAACTTTTTGGATTAAACTCTTATACAAAAATAGATTACAGGCTGGGAACAGATTATTTGAAGAGTTGTGCTTGATACGAAGAAAAAATTTCACTCAATGGTAAATCGAATTTGACAATGTGTATTCTCTCATAAACGCAAAATAAGCAAGAAGGACTTTCACTTTCTTTATCCATGACGCACAACTAACACCAACGAATAAGCGAGGCAAAACACTACCGTCTTGAGTGAGGCGGCAAACGTACTGAGGCGCCTTTGAACATCGACAAAAACCGACAACGTTGCTCGGGCCGCGGCACGCTCGGGGAGGCAGGCTGGTTTGCCTCGGGGAGGACGTCTTGACCGACGAGGATTTGTGGAGGCTGTCGCTCAGTCAGTACGGGTAAAAAACAATCTCTGGTGAAGTTAAGATTTAATTTTTGTTGTAATGAGACTGAATTAATTTCTATCAAAAGCTGGAATAATGAACTACCTGAAGACCATTTTGAGATCTGTGTTGTGCAAAAATTTTAAGTTTAAGTGTTTTACCTGCATGAAACACTTGCTATTGATTTAACTAAATAACAATACACCTGTTGCTTAGCAATATCCTTTCAGATTAAGCACACCATTTTAACATAGCTTTTGAATATAACATTACATAATGAATAGATCATAACTCTCAGAGAACACTAATTTCAGAGAGTTTGAGAGGGAAAGAAAACTTAAAGACAAGGACGAATTGAACACCAGAATGTGTACTCGTATGGTGGCTCACGAGGTGAGTCCATATTTGGTTGTGTTTTAACAACACACACTATTAATATTTATGTGTTAACTTACAGTGATACATAGGCCCTGTTTTCCATTATATATTAAGTGAAATGTAAATATTGATCTAAAGCTTTACAGCTATCCGTCGGTGATATGGTTCAGTTTTATTGCTTTTTCACAATTTTGTTATTTGCATTTAATTAAATATTTTAAATCAAATCTTTAAAGCGATAGTAAATTTACTCTATTTAATAATCTATGGACATCGGTCTTAAATGCTCTCCAGGTGGAACGCCAAGATCGCGAAGATCTCATAACCGTCAGGCACGAGGATGAAGATCGTGAGAAGTTACGCCGAGAGGACGTGATGGTGTACGAGAAGAAACAAGACGATAAAAAAGAACTGAGTGACGGCCTTCGTACGCAAATAGAGGAGAACAAACAGTCCGTGCGGGATGAGAAGCAGAGGGATCTCAATTTTTATGATCGGGTGAACAACTCATGTTTTTATAATTTTGCTTTAAGATATAAAAGTAAATCATTTCATCATCATCATCGACATCTGCACAGCCCCTTGTGGGCCTTATAGCGAGAATATTTCACATCAACAATTCCATCCTACCGAAGCAGCCTCGGTCTATCGAATTTCTCTCGCCGCCAGGTTTTGAGTTCAGTGAGGACCTCCGCCATTCGGTGCACTTGTCTCGACCGCTCGAGCCTGTTGCTAAAAGTCAAAAATCATTTAATCATAATATAGGTAACACAATGTACACTTATGAACGTCAAAAAAAGAAATGTATATGAAATGCTTCTAACTTTACATTTACTGCTAGTTCTCAAATCAAGGGCGTAGAACGGAAGAGAAGAACTGGCAAACTCTCCGCCACTCTTTTTAATCGCCAATTTTTTTTTACACAACGTTTGTAAGGAGCTGCAACCATTACACCACTTACTTCCACATGACATCTTAAGTAATTAATAATAATAACATAAATTAAAAACAAAGATTAGTCCTCTATGAGCAGGAGGCATGGTGAAATAGGAGCACGCACTTACATTCTCGTGGGAACAACACGCAAACACATAGTCGAAATAACTAACATGATGTTGCACTTAATGAATTGGCCGATGATGGATGTCAAAGGTGTTAAAAAATCCTTCATTGAAGCGAACACGTCAAACATTCTTCCAAGAATGTTCCATTCGAAAATAGGTAGAGCGCGCGAGCTTCTCTTCTCGCCGAGGGCTCGGGTTTTAATAAGTGAGCACTGGTCGCAGCAGAGTTTTGTATAGGGCTTTGTATTCTTTCTGAGAAGTCGCGATCGGCAATATTTACTAATGCGTCTACTGATCTCTCGGCTGGGATTTTATCACTTGTCACCATTGAACTCGAGTAAACAGACTCCTCATATTCTTCAAAGCTTACGTCTTCTGCATCAAATGGTTTTCTTGATGCCAGTCCCTTAGAAAAGACCGGGTAGTTTTATCAAATAAATTAAATACTTGTATTGTCCAGCTAGAGGAATGTAGGGAAAAGTATGATATTGATACTCAGCTTCTCCAACATGATTTACTATACAAGGAGGACTTGCTGAAGAATATTTATGAGAAATATGAGAAATCACAACAACAACTGAGTGAGCGCCTGCTTGAAGCTGGGGAGCTGCTGGACTTGGTGAAATGCAATGCTGAGATGTATGAGTCGCTGACCAACAATCTCTCAAGCACCAGTGCGAGCCATCCGCCACCTCCTCAGCTCAATCTTGACTTATCTCCTCCAGTGCTAGCTCTTACAGCAAAGGCCGTTGTTGATACACAGAAAAATAAAACCATTTTCTTTTGTGATGAAATAGGTTCAGGCTTTGGAAAAATCCTATATAATTACCTTAGCCATAGTTTTACCAATCATAGTTACCATAACATAAGTTTTAAACAAATAATTAAACAAATTAAAAATTCAAACCTGGACAATTATTCTGCTTTAGTTTTATTACTAGGTAACAGCATTGGTATTACCAAAAAGGACATAGTGGATGGTGTCAGCACCTTATTAAAATTAAACATAGGAAAGCTGATGTTATGTGCTTTTCCCTACTCTGATACTCTGTCAGAGGTTGAAAATAATCATATTTATAAATTGAATAATACTATTCACATGTTGACATGTCGTCATAGTGACAAATTATTATATTTTGACACTAATAAGTTTATTAGTGGTTCTAAGTTAACTCAGAGAACTTTATCTCTGTCTTTTGAATGTAGACGATTGATTGCTATGTTAATAGCATACAATATTAACAAGGTTATAGCTAATATAACAAATTCTAGGATTAGTGACAAAACTGTGTTGCCTAGTTACACTAACAACACAGTGATTGATAATATATCTTTATGTTGTACGAAGGAGGGTCCACCTATAATACCAACATACTTGGAGGCCAATACCAGTCAGATAGAGTATACTCTTCCTGCTGGAACACATACCTTAGGTTATTCTACAACTGTAGAGGTCACTCCGGATAGTACTTTAAACTAGGCTGTAAGACAACAGAAGTTAACCGTTTAAATAATCAATTATTATTTGTGGATAATAAAAAGGTATCTTCTGGCAATTTAACATGTTTTAATAAACCAAAAGGAAAGCAACATACTTTAAGATTATTTCATCAGAATATTCAAGGTTGCTCTTCCAAATTACTGGAAATAGAAATGTTTTTAGAAAAAACCAAGTTCGATATTATTTGTTTAACTGAACATTGGTTAAATGATCATCAGATAATGTCTATTAATTATGAAAATTATTGTGTAGTTAGCTATTTCAGCCGGAAGTGTATGATACACGGTGGATCATTAATATTAATCAAAAATTCTGTTAAATCTAAAGAAAGGAAAGACATTATCAGATTGTCAGTTGAACATTCTATAGAGTTGTCCTGTGTCGAGCTCGATAAGCATGTTGTAGTATGTGTTTACAGACCTCCGGGCTATCAGAATCTATCTGTATTTGATTCTGTAATGGAAGATGTGTTAAAAAAACTTAGTACTAGTAGTAAATCAATCATCATAAGTGGTGATTTTAATATTAACTTATTAGAAACAAACTCAAATAGTATCAGATTAATAAGTCTTTTTAAATCATTTAATCTGTCTAATGTTTTTATGGAACCAACTAGAGTGACAGCTTCTTCTGCCACTTGTATAGATAATATTTTTTGTAATTGTGATTACTTACATAAAGAAATTGTTAATAAATTGCCTTCTGATCACAGTGGACAAACAATAACGTTTTGTGCCTACATACCTGTACAAAAAATTCAAATAAGGTATAGGCCAATTACATGTAAAAATTTAGAGAAATTAAATAATACCTTGACCAGTAAATTGTGTGTTCAAAACTTTAATAATATTTGGGACCCTAATGAGTTCTATGCGGAGTTTTTTACTTTGTTAAAATCGCAATTTAATGACATTGTTCCACAAAAGACAAAAAGTATTTACACCAAGTTCTTATTTAGTGATTGGGCGACTCCAGGTATTCGTAAGAGCAGGGATAAACTTTTTGAACTGTATGGCCTAAGGCAACATGTAAAAAATACAAACTTTCATCAGCATGTTGCGAAATATTCAAAAACTTTTAAAAGTGTGTGCAAAATTGCTAAAGCACTGTATATTAGTAATAAAATAAAATCAGCGGATGACAAAATAAAAACTACCTGGCAAATAATAAATAATGAAACTGGTAGAAAAAAACAGCGTAATACTGAATTTAACTTAGAGACTGCACATGGCCCAATAAACTCAAATGCAGAAATAGCTCAGGAATTTGAAAACTTTTTTATCAATATTCCCTTTAAAACTACCGAAGCTTTAAGTTCATCATCCGCACTTTCTTTTGCGTTACTTACGAAGAATGTAAGGGCATGCCCTACGGAGTTTCGATTTCAATATACAAACCCCCAGGCTGTTATGAAAGCTTTTAAAGATCTTAAAATTAAATCTACAGAAGATCTTTGGGGATTGTCTGTAAAAGTCTGTAGTTCTATCATCGAAACTATTGCGCCTTATTTAGCTTTCATATTTAACACCAGCATTGACCAAGGAGTCTTTCCGGATCTCATGAAACACAGTAAAGTAGTTCCGTTGTTCAAATCCGGTGATAGTAAAGAACCCAATAATTATAGACCTGTGTCAATTCTGCCAGCTCTCAGTAAGGTGTTTGAAAAGTTAATGCTCAATCAAATGTTATGTCACTTTAATAAAAACTCCATCTTTCATGAACAACAGTACGGTTTCACCAAAGGGCGTTGTACAACTGACGCCGGTGTCTCCCTAATCAAGAACATTTTTAACGCTTGGGAGGAAGCACAAGATGCCATTGGAATCTTTTGCGACCTTTCGAAGGCGTTCGATTGCGTAAACCATGAGACTCTTCTGCTGAAACTTAATCACTACGGGATTAAGAACAAAGCTCTGGACTTACTAAGATCTTACTTGAAAAACAGACAGGTTAAAGTTCAGGTTAACGGCATAAACTCGTTAGGGTCTGAAATTACAATGGGCGTTCCTCAAGGTTCAATATTGGGTCCATTCCTCTTTTTAGTATACATAAATGATTTACCCCAATTAGTTCAGAATAAACCGAAGATGGTGTTATTTGCAGATGACACATCATTGATTTTTAAAGTAGATCGACGGTCACAAAATCGTGACGACGTGAATAACTCTATTCTTCTGGTCCAAAATTGGTTTACGGTAAACAATTTGGCACTGAATGATAAAAAAACTAAATGTATTAGATTTACGTTGCCAAATGTTAAAAGTAAGGAATGTGACATAATGTTGAATGAAGGAAAACTGGAATTTATTAATCAAACGGTTTTCCTAGGCATCACACTAGACGAGAAGTTACAATGGGGACCTCATATCACATCTCTTGCGGGGCGGCTGAGCTCAGCCGTTTATGCGGTTAGAAAGATAAGATATTTAACCAATGTAGAAACTGCGCGTTTGGTCTATTTTAGCTACTTTCACAGCATAATGTCTTACGGCATTTTACTGTGGGGTCGGGCTGCTGACATAGAATCCATTTTTATTTTGCAAAAGAGAGCGGTCAGAGCCATTTATAATCTACGTCGTTGCGAATCTCTCAGGGAACTATTTAAAAAGATTAATATTATGACAGTACCTTGCCAATTCATTTATGAAAATATTATGTATGTAAGAAAGAATCTACATCTTTTTAGTAAAATAAATGAAAGACATAATTTTAGTACTAGAAATAAAGATAAAATAGCTCAACCATCTTTCAGATTAGCCAAAGTTCAAAATTCATTTATGGGGTACTGTGTGAAATGTTACAATAAAATACCTTGTGACATTTTAAAACTAAATGAACGAAAATTTAAATGTTTCATTAAAAGTACACTTTGTAAACAAGCATATTACAAATTAGATGATTATATTCAAGATAAGAATGCTTGGAAACATGCTGGTCCTGCTCCATAGGACAATCCTATGATTGGCTCTATAGCCTGGACAAAATCAAATTGGTTGCTGATTTTTTGCTTTAACATATTTTTGTTATTATTATTATTATTATTTTTTAATTTATATAATGCTACAAATGTAATTATTTTGTTTTGTATCTCACACACTGTTTTGTTGTGTTTTTTTAATATTTTTATTACTCTTTAATGTTAATATTCTAAGGTTTCGATATTTGTAAATATGTGAGGAACATGTATACTAACTTTTTTAGTATAGTAGTTTATTCTAAGAGTACATTGTCTTCACATATAATTATTTAACAAATGTAACAAAATATTGTAAACCTATTTTAAAAGAGTAAGTGTGGAGTTTCTTGCCCATTCTTCTCCACACGAAACTACCTTTTGGAAGGGGCAACTAGAATCATCTTTATATATTTTTTTTTTTTTTTGACGTTCAAAAGTGCCATTTTAGATGGTCTAATTGAAATAAACGATTTGACTTTGACTTTGACTTTGAAGTAGTCAATGCCATGTTTGTCGTCCTATATTTAGTATTTCCACAATACCGACAGGCCCATTGAACTGGCTGCTTTTCTGAGGCTTTTACAACATTCCGCTGACTGGTTTTTGTTTCGCGTGACTAAATCCAAGTCGTCTGCATACCCCAGTATTCGGGTGGACTTCGGCGTCTCTAAAGCATTTCTCCAATAATAAGTTGTAGTGTAGGGACTGTGAGAAGTGTTGGCCTAGTGGCTTCGGCGTGCGACTCTCATCCGTCGAATCGTATGTCGGCCGTGCACCAATGAACTTTCTATCTATCTGAACATTTAACATTCGCTCGCACGGTGAAGGAAAACATCGTGAGGAAACCGGTTTGCCTTAGACCCATAAAGTCGATGGCGTGCCATAGGCAGACACAAAATACTACTTGCCTACGGAACAGATACAGAAACCTGAGACCCAAATCTAAAAGGCTGTGTAGCGCCATTGGTATAAGAGTTGAAAAGTAGGTATGCAAGGTCACCCTCTCTAAGGCCATTGTAGGTGGGAAATGCGGGGGAGACGTCGCTTTGTACCTTAACTCACTTTGATTGTGTGTGGGTATTCGGAATTCCGTCATCTTGTCTAATATGGTCCTGAGTGGAAAAACTCATAGTGGATCCGATGGGACGGACCACATCGATACTGACCAATAGTATTTTCGACGTATGTCTAAAGCTTACGATAAATTAGATGGAGATAATTTATCGTTTTTAATATTTAGGTTTTTGACTGGAGTCAGTCAGAGTAGCCCATCGCTAGACACTTGACGCGGTCGCCGCCTGAGGCCTTGGGCCTGGCCCTTTATTTTCGGGTGTTGTCTCTTGTCTGTGCTATTTAGTTTTACGGCGCCAGAAATTGGCCTTTGCCCCGCTATTTCAGTAAGTTCCTGACTCGAACATTATCTAATTCCAACGTAATAACATACACGTCAATCTGATGTCTTCATTTTTACATAAATACTATCTCTAAATAGAAATTATAATGTGAATTTTGTATATCTGTAACATACACATACACACATTATTGTTCTCTAAGTAGTTTTTAACATTTAAATTTCTATTTTAGGTTGATTTCCGTTGTCTGTCCTAAAGCTATTATCGATTGATTCGTAGGCCACCGCTCTGATGGAACTGGAAGACGAGAGGGAGGAAGAGAGAGCTCGCAGGAAGAAAGAGAGGGACGACCAGCACTTCGCAGACTTGAGACAGCAGATCGCGGACAACGCGGTCCGCAGGCAGAGGCAGAAGGAAGAAGACGCTTCGTAGGGTGAGAAGAGATCGACGTCGATAACCCCCGACGAGCTATTACCTCATAATAATTACACAATCTCCCAGTAGTCCTTTTAATTCGTACCGCTAAACACGGTGGTACGATAACTTAGCATTTTGATCGGAATAGAAGTAGCCTTTTACTTTAACGAATAAAAAATTCACTTTCTTTTCTTTTCACTCCTGTAGAAGTGTACAAATAACAAACGAAATACTTTTTTTTCAGGTGATTAAGGCTACGCCAGAGCTTCAAGACTGCAAACAAAATCTCACTTTAAAGAGCCTGCTATTTTTATCTACTAGTTATTATTAACTTAGCATTAGTTACGTTTTGTATTGTGCACATCTAATGTATGGATTCCTGTTAAAATTCTTTCCGCCTCAGATTAACAATTACATCCGGTAGATGGCGTTGTAACCTGACATTCCGTATTCTAAACCGAGTGAGGCTTCGTGTCGTTAAAGCTTAACAAATGTCTAAAGCTTGTTACGGAAAAGACGAGACTCGGCGAGAGATTCTTGAAGACTGACTTGAAATAGAATTATAATATGGAAACGGAGGAATATTAAATGGTCTAAAACATACTAAATATTTTTGAGCATTAGGGAAGCTCAGCTTTTCGTATTTGCATTTAACTTTTGCCTTTAATATGAGAATATAGTCATTATAATCAAGCTTATCCTTTGATGTGAAAAATAAATACTAAAAATAAATGTTTTTTTATTTTGACGTCCGTCAGTTCTTATTACAGTGTAAACAGTTTATAACGTTATGCGTTATAACGAGAACGTCTCTATAACGTAAAAATGGGTACATTTGATTGGTTTAACACAAAACCCACACGTTGCTTCACTCTTTATAACGCGACAGTAATCTTAAACGATTGCACATGGTCTTTAAAACGGTCATGTTGACATGTTGATCATGCGCAAGCGAGTTGTAACTCCATTAAGACGCGGGGAGCCCTAAGGGCACAGTCATTCAAGTATTACGTAAGCACTATAGGGGCGAGCGGGGGGGTCTTCGATTTTCTTATTTAGTTGAGTAAATAATTACAGTTGATAGATACCTCAACAGTAATTATTTACTTTTTTTACACATATTACCCACACATTGTCTATGCGTATTCACAATCCAGGATTCCTACAAAAAAATAATCAGTTAATGTACTTTTTTTTTGAGAGCTTTGCTTACTTTTGCTGACAAGAGGAAGAGTAAATTGCAGTAAGTAAATCGGCTTACGTAATACTTGATCGGCCCCATACTAGCAGTAATAGTGGGAAGGCTGGATTGCCCTTACATGGTTCGTTGCATTGGACTGCATCTGCCCTTTTTAATAACACAATAATAACCATATGGCCTATGATTGTCTACTTGAATAATTATAATTATTTAACGAATATGGCGACGAGAATGTTAAACTGTTGCTCCAAAACAAAAAGATTTCTATAATTTGTAGCGACATTTATAAACTGCTGCTACTAATACATAGTACGATGAGGCTCTAAATTGTGTTCTTAAAGTACCTACTCTCTACCACTAAGTTCATATTACTCGAACCTGACTAGTCGAGAATCTTCCGAGAGATCATGGAGACGGGACACTGTCTATAACGGTAATAATACGATCGTACGTTTGGTCTGAGGATAAGCACCTATTAAACTGTATTATCTACTAATTTATACGGCTTTTTAATTTATGTGAATAAAAAACTGTTAATTTTCGGCTATAACACACAACGAAAAATATTTACAGACAACAAATGTAAATTTTCCACTTTCATTATAGATAGGCAATGATGTTTATTTTTACAATATAACGATGTACAAGTAGAATTAATATCAGGTATAGCATTGGATATTAAAAAAGGGTAAGTGTAGGATGACAATGATGTGTAGGAATAATTCCGGATTACAGATTAGATTTACTAGATTCTAAGTTGTAAGTACTTAGTTAAATTTGAATTAGAAGTATCATCATCGGATGTCGAAGCTGAATACGAAACAACGGACGTCGATGTGATACGGGTGGAATAGTGGCATCACCTCCACGTTCGTCGTTTCACAACTGAGTGTTATTTTAGGCAGTTCCTGCCTCGCACCACCTCTATGTGGAACTAGCTGCCCACTAAAGTATTTCCGAACCAATTGACTTAGGACTTTCAAGAAAAGAGCGTACCAATTCTTAAAAGGCCGGCTGGATGCACTCGTGCTCTCTCTGGCATTGAGTGTCCATGTCGGTAGCACTTAACATCAGGCAAACCACCTGCCCGTTTGCCCCCTGTTTTATAAAAAAAACATATTATCCAAGGCGATTCATTAACGAATTTCAAACGTTTATTATTACCATAACAAATAGTTTCCGTTTCGGTCTTGTTTCTTATAAACGTACATTTAGCCTGACACCAATAAAGACTCTTTTATAATATTTTATATTTAAAATAACCTCTTAATTAGTATTTCTAGCTTAGGTTTATTTATGATTAAAGACCTTAGACCGCATCACAACACACTACAATATTCTTTAAAATATAAAATTCATATTGAACCTACAGTTGAAAGGGCTCGCATTTGGTCGCAATAAAGAAGCGAAATAGCCGCATCAGCAGTTCAGCAAACACGGTCCCATTGAGATAGATAAAAATCGCAAAATCCCTCCATTCAGGTTAAATTGACACTCCATACGGGTTTATTTGCCGAGTGCTATTACAACGGCTTATCGCCCTACAACAGACTAAATTTGTTTTATAAAAATATTTGCTAACACTTTTTTTATGGTAATAACTTTTTCCAGGATTATTTTTTGTATATATTTAATACTGGCCATTGTCCGGACTTCGTTTGCGTGGAAAAGTGACCCATGGAATGAGTCTTTGTACCCTGTATTAATTAATTATAGTTAAAAATAATTAAACACGGTTTATTGATTAAATTTTAAATGAATGCGATACAAAAAAGTTTTCATTTAATTAATCTTTTATTCTTTCTCTTTTCCATTTTTTCCTTCCAACGTTCGACGTTGATTTTGAATTCAATTTGGTTTTCGATATGTTTCTTTTCTATATTTCCCCAGTGTGTTTTCTCAATGTACCATTTATGATACTTGTCATAGTCCTGTAAAATATTGCATTATTCTTTAGATACTTACATAGCAAATATGAATCTGATCTTTTTTTAGAATTAGAAAAACCTTATAGTACGAGTAAATATAGATCTTGGCTATAGATAAAAAAGTTTCATTTTGCGCACTTGGTTTCAAAACCAAAACTTTCTGTCTATTTCAAAAACCCAGTGGAGGTACCTACCCTTGATAGGCCTAGGCCAGAGGCCTTAGGTTTATGTAGATAAGTATGTGTATGGTGATATTTTTTTTATGAAATGGAAAATAGCTAGGTAGTTCTGTTGCGGCATTTAAGCGATTAGGAAAAGGTGAAAATGTTTGTATATATGAAAGTCTTTTTTTTAACTGAGGTGAAAGTTAACAAAAGTCCGTACAACTCCACTTCAGCCAATTATATGCGATTGTACCCATTTCTATGAGATGAGTAGGTTTATACCCGTTAATCTACCTGGGGTACTAAGCCATCCTATTAGATTGCTAGCAAGTAACCAATGCTACTAACTTCTGGTTCATCGACGCTTTGTAAAAAATAATCGTAGATTTCATCTGGGGACAGTCCACTGGTCGCTATTCTGTAATTGTAATGACATTAAAAACATTATTATTTCTATTATTAACCGTTACGTTAACTTAATAATGTATGTATCATATTACGAAGCGCAAATTTTTAAGAAACATACCTACGACATACACAACAAAGCGTCCGCGTGTGTTCAGCAGTTCCTACACATTCGCTTGGATATTTTTATAAGTGTTTTCAGTTCTACCACATCGAAAAACTCTTCCATGATTTTTTTTTTAGATTTGAGGTAAAATGTACATACTTGATACTTCGATTCGCAGTTATGAATGCTTCTAGCTTTCTTTTGAGATATCCTACAGAATGTCCCTGCAATTGACGTGCCAGGCTCTGTATGTCCAATGAAGGCGGTACTATTCTGTTGCTAAAATAAATAAAAACGAACTGTATAATATGTAGAATACCAGATCTGTGGCCGCTTACTTCAAATCAAACAAGATTTCTTTGCAATGTAAGATATTTGTTAGCAGTATTCTTGGCACGGTAACTACTAGGTAGTTTCGGTAAGAATTTATGATGTCCGTATTTTACACTTCAAACTCACACTTTCCATACATTTGGAATAGTCAATTACGCTAGTAGTATAGACCTACTGACAGTTTTACTAAGAAAATACGTCGGTTTCTAATATGTTTATGAAAATTCTTCATTCTTTGGGCGTAACCAGGCGCTGTTAAACACATACAAACAATTGGTACAATTCTTTACTCAATTATGTGAGCTACCTTAGTTCATGTATGTATGATTTAACCTTGAAATAGTCGATAATTTAAATAAAACTCTTTAACAGATATATTGCCCACTTGCTCGGTGAAAGTTAAAGAGAGATGGAGCCAGTTGGAGGAAGCCAATATTCTATAAGTGGTCCTTGGAAAAAATATATATTTTGATAAATATTTTTATATTTTATATACATAATATTATTATGAATAAATGAGGCTTAATTATATAACTTCACGGTTCGAGTGCTTTTCAGTAACCGTGGTCGCGCAAGATTGTTCTTGTCTTCGGTTGATAAATATACCTAATAATCTTTAAAAGGCTTGATAGAACAAAAAATCTTTGTCTTTGTCTCAATAAAATACTTTATTCTAGAAGCTTTATGTATAAACTGTTTGAATTCTTTAGAAAAAACTACCTTAAAACCCAATTCCTTAACATAAGCTGCGTAGTTGAATACAGAGTGGGCGGCATAAGAACCACATTCTGAAAATGTTTGGTGATCTGTTTGCTTTTGGTTAACCAAGGAACAACACACGATCCTGTAAAAACATACTTATAGTTATTAATATTTTTATTTTTTTATAATTATAGACGATACATAATTCATAGATAATCACTGAAGTTAAACAATTAGTTGATAGATGTCGAATAGGATTTGATTTTTATTAGACGTATAAAGTTATACCTATAAGAGAAATTTTGTCCGTTTGATGAATCTTTCTGATTAACCGTTTCACTAACAGCTTCCTCAGTCCAGCAAAATTGGTTTCTTCAGCAACTGGAGCCTTTAAATGAAAAAATATGTATGTTTCTATCATTTAACTGAGGTTATAAGTTTGAACCCTGGCGGTGGACTAATGATTTTTTTCGTGTCTTCAATTTACACTTCACGTAGGGTAAAAAATCCATAATGTGTTTGGCCTAAAAATCAGCGATGTATACAATAAGTGCTTGTTTCATTAATCAAACATCCTGACATGCCCGAATGTGAGATTATGCGCACCCTGAATATTATTGCATGTGAAACGGACATATTTAGTTGCCCACTGAATTTACAGGAATTACATTATTTATAATTAGTTATAAATAGGTTTTTGGTTTTTATTATGTTTTTGGTTTAATTTTTATATTAGTTTTCTATTGTATTAAGTTACTGTTAAAATAGGAAATAAATAAATTACTTTACCCAATTATAATTGAATTGTCTATCAGTAAAAAGAGATCTGTGGCAAGCTTCAATGTAAATCATAATATACCTTTCTCGAGTACAATCTGTTGACATGCCTAATATAGATAATTGAAGGTTGCGTAGCGTGTGCACAAAGTAGCAGAGCGGCAACAAAACTTTTTATTTCGTCTCTAGATTTGTTTTGAAATTCCACTAGGTTCAAGTCGTATAGAGTTGCATCTGTAAATCATATTAATTGCGTCTACCGTTGAGACGTTCAGACCAAGTTAAACGTTTCATGCGCAAAGACAAACAGTGGAAGTTACGTTTACGTTAGTGATATGCACTTTGTTATGTACTTGTTGTTTACTTTCATAATTACCTATAGAGGTTCTGTTGTAAAATGTGCAAAATATATCTCTGCATCTAACAAATTCTACTCATTATTTTCTAGAAGTTGAAAATTTATTTAGTTTTTATCATTAATACCCCGTAGAGTTTATAATCGATAAACTCAACGGGTTGCTTAACAGGCATTGAGAGTGCCCATTTGCTCCCTGTTCTATAAAAAAATAATGTAGCTAATATAAAACGTGCGCGCGATTTTTGGTATATTATTTTATTTCTTGTTTTGTTTATATTCTAGGAAAAAAAAAATTACAATTCATACCATTAATAGTTGCCATTGTATGAACTAAAACAGTTTTGCCGCTACCCCTCGGTCCGACGAGGAGAATCCTTCTAAACCCGTGGATCACTTCACGACATCTCTCCCACCATACACTCCGGGTTTCCCCACCAAACGGATGAACTAGCCTGCAAAATAAGGGTTAAAGAGACATTGTATTGCCAAGTGCGGGGAGTTCAGTTATAAGATAATATTGTTTCGTTCGTTTCCGCGAGATTTGAATTAATAAAAGTAGTTATATATATATATATATGACTGAATATTTAGCTTAGTGGTAAGCACACATGCACATATGTTGCGTAATAAGTTACCGTCTAAAATTTGATATATTAGCGTGTTTAACCAAGAACCAAAGGCACAAAGGACCGATCCCCCATTTGCATTATAAAATGATCTAAAAAGAGTTTGTAATAGAATAATCTTATCTCCGTATTAATAAAAATTGGGGGGGGAAAAAAAAAAAAACCGCCCCCATTGGCAATAAAAAAAGAATAAGGCAAAAATATCTTTGTACTGTATGAGTAAATATTAAGTTTAATTTTTGTAAGTCTGTGGGGTAACATAGATCAACCCCATAATTAAGAAAACCCTTACACAATAGAAGTTTCTATGATAGGCAATTTTTATCAATTCATATCACACTTAAAATGATATGTTAATTTAGTTATATTAATAGATTGCGCCTACGCAAAAAAACAAAAACAATGCATTAATTTCCGTTTTAATATCATACTATCATACTAGCTGTCCCGGCAATCGTTGTTTTGCCATGTATTATAATTCTAGGAAACATTTTTTTATAATTTATTAAAAATAAATATCTGCTATAGTAAATAAATAGGGATTGATCGTAGTGCGGTGAAAATTAAGGGTTGTAAGTATGTATTTTTGTATGCTGTATCATGAAAAAATAAAAACGAAAAAATTTGTCAAAAAAACAAAAAAAATATTTTAGGGCTGGACGGATCACCCTTAACATTTAGGGGGATGAAAAATATATGTTGTCCGATTCGTAGACCTAACCGATATGCACACAAAATTTCACGAAAATCGGTCGAGCCATTTCGGAGGACATTAATTACAATAAACGTTATACGAGCATTTTATATATTAGATGTTACTTAGAAATAAATTAATCATACTTTAAGTCACATTTTAGTTTGTCGCCTGCAAAGTTGTAGTCGCCTAAAAAATCTTCAATCTCTGTTGTAGGATATTCAACTAGGATGCCTTTCACAGCTAAGTCCTAAAAAGTGGATTTCCTGAGGTCAATGTTAAATTTATAAGTTTTGATACTTAATTAATAAAGGTATTTTATCGTATTATTGCATTTTTTTTGCACCACAAAATTAGGACAATCACATGATATAAATTGACATCCCTAAAACATGTGGACACGACCAGCGAAATCAAGTAGATACAATAAACAGTGTTAATACATACAACCAATTATTAATTAAATAAAATTAAAAATACAAACTATAAAAGAATTAAACTATTTGAACCAAGATTAGCTAACATTAGTATTTACTTTATAAAAAAAAACATTACAAAGAAATTGAAGTCCTATTCTTAGTATAAACATTCTTAGTTACAATATTCCTGATTGATGTAAAATCAGTGGCGCTGCAACCTTTTTGGTCTGGGTACAGACCCCAGATTTCTGTATCTGTTTCATGATCATTTGTCAATCTTATAGACAAGTGATCGGCCTCCTGTGCCTGACACGCCGTCGACTCTTTGGGTCTAAGGCAAGCCGGTTTCCTCACGATATTTTCCTTCACCTTTCGAGCGAATGTTAAATGTGCACATAGAAAGAAAGCCCATTGGTGTAGAGAGGATCGAAGACGACCTCAGGGATGAGCCATGAAGCCACTAGGGCCTAGGCCAACACTGCACTATTCCCGAGTGATATACTTAGTATTAAATGTCATAACACCTTAAACAATTTAAGATACTAACACTCAATTTATCAAATATCACGTCCTCCTGTACTATTTTAGGTTTGCGTTTCTTCTTGACTCGTTGCGCACTTTCCTTTATATTTTCTGGCATTTCTTCCTCGTTTCTTTTATAGTCTTCTTTTAAAGCTGTCATTAACGTCTGGTATTCCCTTCTAGAAGTTAATATCCGTTATAGCATACATAAGAAAATCTTGTAGCTATGTTGGTTGCTTTGCGTTTGACTGTTTAAATTTTCGGGTAAAAATTGCTTTGACATGCAAACGTTTTGCCTATTACAAAAATCTGCGATGACTGCAACGGCCATGTGCAGTTTTAGAAAATATTAGTCTGTAATTGAAAGTGGCCTGCCAATGATTACTGTGCTTATTAAATAATTCATTATTATTCATAAAAAATGTTCCGTTTCAAATAATGCAATAATTCTAATAATATTTCCTTATTCAATATGAAACCCATTTTTTATTCATAAAGTGATAAAATAATGTTAAAGTTAATGGATAAAGACCTTATATCTTCATCAATTGATAGTAAAATTTCTTCATTAGCCTCACAATATATATTTTGTATATCTATTTCGTTTATAAATCCTTGTTTAACTTCTAGAATGTCCAATTTATCCCAGTCTGACCAATGAGTTTTATAATCTTCGACAGTCTGAAAATAATTAATTTTAAAGTTTGTGCTATAATTAGCTCTCATTAACGAATCCAATTGTATTAAAATCTTGCTTGAAAGGTAACTAATTAATTTAACTTACCGCTGTGGTAATAAAATATATATGTTTCTTGAAGCGTTGAAATAAGCATTACACATCAAAAATATATTTAATAACTAATAATATATAGTTATATATCAAAATTAAATGAGTAATAGCTGAAGTTCTCATTTAAAACACGTAAAAACGACAACTTTACGTGATTTTTACCTCTTTTAAATGAATAACTTTCTTTGAAGCTGGGAAATTGTATCCTGGATGCATATTTGGATTTTTCATGATTTTCTTTAACAAGTCTGCTTCCAGCTTCTTTTTTCTTATTTCCTCCTTTCTTATGAGCATCTCTTCTCTTTTAGCTTCCATTTTCTCATACTTTAGCTAAATATACAATAAAGATATATTTAATTAACTATCTACCTAATACTGTTTATTTATTTAAACTTCGTTATCTTATTATTAGGCAACGGGCGGCCTTATCGCTAATTATCGATCTCATTCAACAACCAAGCTTAAAAAAATTACATGTGACCCCAAAAATAATTACTAAAACTAAACTAAACAAAAATCTAAAATAAATAAATAATAATAAGTTTGTAAAAGCTAATCTAAGGGTTAATGAGTCATAATCAATATAGCTAATAACGAGTTAGACGATAAATGCTCAAATAGAAGAGTTTGTTGTTTCATATAGGTGTTTTTTAAAATAAGTTATTGATTAACTATTGAGAGCAGCCGCAGCAGTGTTGGCCTAGTGGCTTCAGCGTGCGACTCTCATCCCTGAGGTCGTAGGTTCAATCCCCGGCTGTGCGCCAATGAACTTTCTGTCTATGTGACCATTTAACACTCGCACGTATGGTGAAGGAAAACATCGTGAGGAAACCGGCTTGCCTTAGTACCAAAAAGTCGACGGCGTGTGTCAACATAGGAGGCTGATCACCTACTTGCCTATTAGATTGACAAATGATCATGAAACAGATACAGAAATCTGAGGCCCAGACCTAAAAAGGTTGTTGTGCCACTGACTTATTTTATTTATTTAATTATTGAGTGAGTTCTTTATAATATATCAACTACAAGTAGCAATTACTAGAGAAACATTTTTTTTATGAATCGGCGAATCATCATCAATATAAAAACGAAACTTAGCTACAGCTCAGCCGCAATAAACAAAAGAAAATACCTCAGCCGCTGTTGTCTTCTTTTTAGCTTTCTTTTGTTCCATATATGTCTTATACAACTCTAGCCACTCAGATGGTGTTGGTAATTCTTCTTTTATTATATTTACCAAACCACCTTGACTTTCTTTGGGTATTGGATGAAAAAACTGTATTTCATCAAACCTAAAAAATAAAAATACGATTCTTCGTTAAATTTGAATAACCTTATTGATAACGCCACATTCTCAGATAACGCAAAAATTTGCTAATTTAATACTGTATTTAAAATACAACATAGCATATATCAACATATGTGACGGTTGACAATAAGTAAGTTAATAAATTTCCGTTATGCTAAACATACATTACAATAAAACTATTAGACTTAATTAATTAAATTATTAGACTTAATTATTAATTATTTAACTATTAGATTTAATTAGTAATAAAATTTACTACTAAAAATTAAAATTAGAGCAGGCGTAAAGTAATAAACGGCTCAAATATAAGTCTTTCCTCCAACGTCGATTTTGTTCCCTTTGGAGTAGAGACTCTTGACCGTGGGGTTCAAGTTCACAGGCGCTTAAAGATTTAAGTTGGCGCTTGGTAGATAGTACCGGTGACCCCAGAGCTGGTGTTTTTCTTGCTCAACGAATAAGTATCGCAATACAGGGAGGAAATTCTGCCAGCGTTAAAGGTCTGCCACAGGGACCAAACTATTTAAATTTGTTTTTATTTTATAATTTTTTTGAATTATTCTTATTATTCAAGCGAAACTTCTTTATCGGGGTTGGAAAAAAATTTAGTGTAAAATTTTTGCGTTACGCGTCACATTTTTCCGTTAGGATGTTGCTTTTTGAAGTCAAACTTTTTATCGGCGTTAAAATATGACATATAGTATGTTTTTGACTTTGAAGTTTGACAACGGATTACATTTTCGACTTGAAATTTGCTAATCGCAATTTGCAGCAATTAATTTGTAAATTGTATGCTAGGCAGTGTATCAAAATTTACTGTGTTTAAAGAAATAGTTTCTAATAAGGTCATAAAGAAGTTTCACTTCTTACGTGTAGTACACGCACACATTTTTTATTACTATGGGTTAAGAAAATTGTAACTATTTGATTGTTATGTTTAGATTTTAATAAAAATAAGATTACACATGAATTTTCAACAATTTGAAGTAATTTTAAACATCTTATCTGAAACAAACTGCTTTAATTACCATCGCTTAAACCAGTCTCGAACAAAATCGCGATAATCATCAGAAATTGAATCTTTTCTTTGTTTTAAGAAAAGATATTTCTTATTAATATAGTCATTTTTCCATTTTTCATTAAATTTGTTAATGAGCTTACATCGTTCTAAATAAAGCTGAAAAAAATAAATTTGTATTAATATCAATAAAGTTTGTAAATATTTTTTCGTATGGCTATCTATCTTCTACCGGCTACCGCATTTAACATTGAGTGTTCAGCGGAGTTGTTCGGATTAATACCTGTAGCTAAGTTCCAACCGCCGACCACGACGTCCGACGCATACTGAAGTATTTCAAAATTTTAAAAGGTCGGCAACGCATTTCCGAGCTATCTGGCAATGTGAGTGTTAAGGATGGCACAGTAACATCGTGTAAGGCTTATATCCCATCCCTGTTATATAAAAAAATAAAAAAAACTTTGAATTAATATTAAAAGGTACTCAACCTGTCTTTCCTTCTCTTGAAAGCTGTTGTGATGTATGTGTCTACAAACATTCATGCCTAAAAGTTCTTCAATTTTACAATTTTTAATTCTTATTCGCTTCAGTTCAAAATATTTCCTGAAACAAAACATAAATTTTATTTTTAATGTTTTTTGGCTTAGGTATACATTTGATTGTAGAAAACACAGGCAAAATTGTGGTCTGTTGTATGTTAGATGTTACCTACGCAATATGAATTACATTTATATTAGAGAAAATTGAATAAACAATGTTGGTACAACAGATACAAATACCTTTTTTACACGTACACACTTTTACCAAATAAATGTATACCTCATCACTTTTTGAATAATTTTAGCCCCTCTTTCCCTGATCTCCAAACGTGCTGGAGGCTTTAACGTCCCCCTCAGTTCTTTTTCCCAAAGAATTCGTCTTTGATGTCTCAGTATATTTCGTTGTGTGATTTGTCTAAAACAAAACTTGATGATTTCATTTTGTTTCTGAATTTTACGTCATTATGATTTTATATGAGATCCCAATTGTCGAATAATCGTTTTATTTCGATAAATACACCCACGTTTTGAATAAAAGGCAATCGGAAATATTACGTAGCTAAAATGTGTTTTATTTACGGGCGGCCTTATCGTTAACAAGCTATCTCTTCCAGTCAACCCTAGTAATGGAAATGAATAAGAAATACTAAGGGTAAAGTGCAGGAAGTGCATAACTAAATTAACAAAAATAAAATTACAAGTACCTAACTGAAATAAAGCTATACAAACTAAAATTATAAATTAAAAAACTTTTAGATTAAATGACATAATCAAAAAATAAATAAATCAGTGGCGCAAGAACCTCTTTAGGTCTAGGCCTCAGATTTCTGAATCTGTTTCATGATCATTTGTCAATATAATAGGCAAGTAGGTAATCAGCCTAGGTCAGGGTCTAAGAGCGTTCTTCAATTTTTCTTCACATTCGAGGAATGTTAAATGTATGGAAATCCATTGGTGTACAGCCGGGGATCGAACCTACGACCTTAGGGATGAGAGTCGCACGCTGAAGCCACTAGGCCAACACTGCTCAAATGCTACTGTCGCTACGATGAAAAAGTGGACCTTTACACAGCCTGATAACTTTACCGTGTCTTTTCGTGTGCTTGTATGAGAGATAACAATTTCTTTCTTGTTAGTGTCTCTTCTGATATTTTCTCTTCAACTTCATAAATTGCTGTTATATTTATTCCCGTTGGTTTGGTTATTTCTTTAGCATCGTCAGGCAGATCCCACCAATTATCAGTTTTAGGTTCAGTGGCTGCCTCTTCAAAATTCTCTTCTGGTATTTCTATTAAAACAAATTGCACAACTTAAACAAGCGATTGTTCATTACACTGATTGTCAACCCTGGGGCCCAAATTTCTGCTTGATTGCTCTCTATTTTAAGCAGTCTATCAGCTATTAAACTAAACTAAACAGGATATTACCCTTCTGTGTTTACAAAACGAAACAAGTATTGTTCTCCGGTTATCAAATCTAGGTTCCCGAGAAAAACGCCATTTGCACTGCCACGTCGGAAGTAATTTTTAACTTTAATTACAGAGGGTATATTATAGTAAACGTAGGCTCTCGTTTTATTATCAAACAATTCTTCTATTTCTCTAAATGTAATTTAAAAAATACCTGCTTCACTTTTGTTTCGGGCTTTCTGAAAGGCTTCACTGATAATGCGTTGAATGTTTTCAGGCCTAATATGTTTGGAGGGCAAGCATTTTAGTTCCGTATCAAACGGTGTCAGTTTATGTTTGGTTAAACCTCCACAAAGGTACTCATAATAGCTGCCATCAAGTTTTCGAAGTTGTTCTTTGAGTTCTAAAATCCTGAGGACAGTTATCTATGTTTAATCCAAATTTAATGGGTCCCGAGTCAAAAATCAATCATAGTTTTTTTTTAAAATATTATTCGTATTTAGTTATATCATGTACTTATCCTAACGTTAGCTGTCAGCACGCCTCGTTCATGTGGAAATACACGCGGAAAAAGTATAGCTGAGTTTCTCATATAGACGCCTTAAAAATAACATTGTAGCGTAATAATACGCAATGGGCCTAGTAAAATTCAATTGTGTAGCGTAAAGTTCTATAGTACTGAGAATCTGATTCTTTAGGTTTATATTTAATTTAATAAAGGTTGTAACACCTTATGTAGGTAACTATTTTATAAAAGATATCAGTAGTATGTCTCCTTTAAGATAGACATATTTCATTTAGTTACATGTGGACCACCTGACCACTGAAGTATTTCCTTCAAGAAAAGAGTGTACCAAGTCTTAAATGGCCGGCAACGCACTTGAGAGCCTTCTGGCATTGTAAGTGTCCATGGGCGGCGGTATCACTTAACATCAGGTGATCCTCCTGCACGTTTGCCTCCTATTACATAAAAAAATATGTCGTTCTCGTATGTAGGAACTACTACTTTACATATTACTATTTTTAAATGTGCAATTCAAACAATTCTCAACTCAAAGAAACTTCGCGTTGTTTTTGAACATTTATAAATTATAACTATTGATAGTACCTGGATACAATTGCGTTTATGATCTTTTGTATATACACTGTCTTCTGGACCTGTAGATTTTGTTGTAGACAGTCAAATGCATCATTGTAGCAAGACATGTAGCTTCCCAGTACTCCAGAAATTCGAAGGACAGCATCGCAAAGCTCTTTGTCGTGTGCTTTACGTTCCTGTAATAAATAATAAATAAATCATACTTCATTATTGGATATGAACCGAAATTCTCCCCATCTCTGCTTATTGTTATAAAATTGATTTCAATATAACCTGATAATCCAAATCTACAAATATTGTTCTTTCTAAGTTCTGAAGTGCTTTTTTCCATTGTTGGAAGTTATAATCACTAGACATTTTAAAGTTTTATAAATGAAAAATTATTTTGATATTGAGAGATTGTTTAATCTCATTGGTCATGATTTGAGTATAGGTCCATTAGATCGAAACGAGGATTTGTTTACAATACGTGTTCATTAGAATCATCTTATCAGTGTTTTAGAACTTTATTATAAATCACATTTTTATTTAAGACAATTGAATCATAAGCTTAAACTCTTTTAGGATTTTTAATACACCTTATTTAGTCCCATAATAAAACGCACGATGCTTAATTTTTAACACCATACAAGCAAGTATTGAATGCGAATCTAGAAAGAAAATTCGGTGCATGCTGGGGTTTTAAATGTCAGCCTAGAATTCGCAATACAGTTTTATTAGAAACAAACCAGAATTATAGATATAGGTACGTTTTAAGCGTATAACCAAGAAAAATATTGTAATATCTCAATGAGGTGGTTAACAGCGCCATTTAGTGGAAGCAAAGGGCAAACGATCACCATTACGTGTTATCGCCTGAAACGGAAACCCCTACATCATACCCGATGAGGGAAATAAGCGATCGCACTTGACGGCGACGTCCTTTCATCTTTTCACCTCATTTTATATTACACAACCACCAATAACTAAATATATTATTTACAACCTTATTACAAAGGCACAAAGTTGAAAATGAAATACGCAATATGTGAGATATTATTTTTGGTTATGTCTTTCGGTATTTAAATGTACGGATGCAAAACAAACTTGATGTTATTTAAAATATGAACTTGTTTACTAAATTGAATGTTTTCAATACGCTTCAAGGATTAGCCTTTTTCCATAATATACCTTAGTCCATGTTCCCTTAAACTGTATTTATAATTTTCTATTAATGATATAATAAATAATACAAAAACTAATTCTTCTTTATGTAAAACTTAATGTTCTTCTTTATGTAAATCTAGTTATTGTGTCGCGTGTAAGTACTAAGTCACTAACAAAGTTAATTTAAAATTAAGTGTAGTATTAGTTATTAGTTTCTATAATATATTAAAATACTGCGGTCGAATAACTAAACGATGAAACGGCGAACATTAGAACATTTCAATAAAAGGTAAAAATGCTTCATTTCTGTGAGATATTTTTCTAAACAATTTACAAGCGTGTGTCAGAAGCATATATCAAATTTCTGGGTCGTGTCGTATCGCGTTGTATTCGTTGTAGCTTCCTGTCGCGCTCAATGCCCGCCATCTTGCCACCGGAAGTAGTAAAGCCTTCCGCAGCGACCTCTACGTAACATCGGTGTTCATTATGTTTTTAAAAAGAATATTTGAAATGACCTTTTCGGGAGATATCATAAAAATAAATTAGAACTCCTGGCCAGTATTACATTTAATAAGGAATTTTGTTGACTTTGGTTTTTAGTAGCGTGATTTATTTTTAACATATGTAGATAGTTATTTCCTCGCTGACAAAACTGATGAAAATTTTTAACTGTTGCATAAAAACGATTTCTTTCTACACAACATTTAGGAATGTGTTTTGTGATAGGTTTTTCACGCATAAAAAGTGAATTGAAAAAAATTTACAACTCTCAAAGGATAGGTAATCGACACGCTAATGGAAACCATCAAAAACTCTCATAAGAGATCTCATAAAAATTCGATACACCCTCGGGGGATGAAAAATAAACTATTTTATATTCAATATTGAGGCGTTATCGAGGGTTACATGTTATTCAGGAGATGTCACAAATTGAAAACACGTTCATTGTGATTTTTCCTTGAAATATAAAGCAATATTTCATCTATAAAAACATTAGTGATTACCGCACATGACGTATATTGTTACGATATTTAGAAGACAAATTGCCTGACAATTTTAAGAGTAGGTATACGGAAATTCAACGAATAATTAATATTTTCGTTTGTCCCAAACTATGCGAAGGTTAAATATAACAGTCCTAGATTTGACGTCTATGCAAATAAGTCTTTTAAAACCAAAACTTGTCTACAAAATTGTTGACACGTATAATTTACGTATTGTGCGCTACAAATGTGCGAACATTAAACAACGGAAAGCTACCACTCTTTTAATAAATTATAATGGGTAAAATGTAGGGTAATCGGCGTGTTGGTAGAAGCAAGAAATCATGGCTTCGCAACCTTAGGAAGTGGACGGCTATTGAAACTGCGGAAGAGTGGGTGCATCCGGCACAGGACAAGACAAGAGACTGACGGCCAACGTCCAGTAATTGAGAGGCATTAAAAGAAAAAGAAGCGCTACAAATAAGCAGTCAAATAATTAAGCTTTAGCATAGGTACAGTAAGTAACACGATTTGTATTCATTCACTTTAAAACTCATAACGAAAGTAACACAAAGAGATTAAAACAAGAGTAATTCGATTGTAGTTTTGCTAAAACAAAGTATTATTAGAGATAATAAAATTGTAATAAACAACGCGAAGACACGCCATTCCAAATTAACTTTGGTCGTAAATTGGGCACGCAAACAACTTTCAAATTGGCCCGCGGAGGCGACGTTTTCGCTAAATACCTATAAAAATGTCCACCCGTAGTGAAATATTGTTACTAATAATGAGGTGCAAGTAAAACGCGATCTTAAGAAGTACGAATTATAGATTTCGCATAATATTATATAAATAAACTATAAATTCGATTTCTTATTTTAATTGAATTTAATATAACATATGCATTAAATAATTTTAACAAAAAAAAAAAAATTTAGGCGTTGATCCTGTACATTATATAAAGTTACGTTATTGCAGCTTTTTTTTAACTTGGGAAATTCATTGCACATACCTTACCGCTGCGCGACTTAGTGCGGGAGGGTTATATGGGACTCGCGATTATGCTACCCACTAAAACCCGAAGGCGCCACCAACATTCCCGTTCCCCATATGGGATGCAGCGGTTGCGTCCACCTCACCATGCCCGTGGTTAGCTTGTCCAGATACTTGACCCAGCAAGCATCCTTTACAGACCGGGCCATTCGCTTTTAGTAACAGCTAGGGGAGATCGGGTCCAGTACTTGCAGGGAAGGATCACCATCCCTTCTTTAGAACACATGGACCCCTGCTTCCCCGCTTGGAAGATATTCGTAGAGCTGTTACGTTGATGCTAGACCGCTACGATGCTACGCTACTAAATAACGCTCTAGCGTCTACGTAACACAGCTCTACGGATAGCTGAATACCGCTCATTAAACAAATATATTACTTACAAAATCGCTTGGGCCTATGGCTGGTGCCTTCACGGTGTAGGTTCGTATATAAATTGCAGCACTTACCACGTCCGAATGGCACATTTGGCTGATAGCGCGTCGAGATATACTTTACCGCGCTATGAGTTATCGCCTTCTATCTTTTATGTGAACCGTAAACTTACTTGACGGTGAACGAAGGATGTGTGTACCATACAAAAACATACCGCGAAGATGAATTAAAAATTATGAATTTGTTGAAATTCTAGTCTACAGGTCTAGTAGTAGTTAAGGTGAAGTCCGTATTACTTTTTTAAAGATCTGAATTTTCAAAAATGCAAGGTATACATTTCCAGTGTTTCAAAATTGTGTTATATAGCTTTAAAGTCATACCATTTTTTTTACTTGTCCCATTCGCCTTATAATTCCATTATAAGGCTTTTTAACGAAATAGCAAAAAGGTTAGTCGATCACAGGAGACCGAAGAGCTGGCGGCTACCTCGGCCAAATAATTAGTCTAGCTGTTCAAAGGGCTGCCAGTATCTTCGGAACCTCGTCTAAAGGGACTAATATATTTTAGTTATTATACTATATTTTTTAAGTACATAAATGTTGTGCATAAACGATTAATATAATTGTATTGATGTTTTAATATAAATCAGAATTGTACCAACACTGATATTAAATAGACGTGTTCTGAATAGCCTCGTTTCATTACAATACTCAGTACCTTATAAGGACATACGAATACCAACTAAGGTTCAATGTATAAAATACAAAGTATGAATAAGTATATCATCATCCACCACATCCCGGAATAAAGATATGTAATACTCCCGTTGCGTTCATATTTTACACTGAAACTTTATCATATACAAGAAGTTTAGAAACAGGAATATTTATATTAACTCTACTGAGACGGAAATGATGTTGTTTATAGGGATATTATAATGGTTCAATATTTATTTAAACTGTCACGACGTTTTTTGTGCTCCTACAGGATCAGAATTTTTGAACATAGGACGTAGAAGTTCTGATAACCTAGTAAATTTGAGATCTCCGGAAGGTATAAGATCCCAGAACCGATCCCCTATTAGCTGAACTGACCAAGTCAAAGACTTTACAGGCTTTTAAAATTATGCATCGCCATCACGTCTTTCAGAAATGAAAAATACAAAATAATATTTTCAGATTAATATTTAACATATGGATGAACAAAAATGAAAAACAAATAATAAGAATAATTCATAAAAATTCAGAAGCCTCATTTATCGATATATGACATAAGATTTGATATGTATTAAATACATCAAAAGAAAGAAATACTTTGAAAGACAATACACTTAGCTTTTGTTTCGATAAAACAATACATTACGCACAATATAACCTTGACAAAGCCTTGGTGTTATATGAAGCGCACGTCAATAAGGCCAGCACATAAACAGACAAAGGCTACCCATCATCGGGAACTGCATTAGCCCGCCTGTAAATTCTGCCTCTTAATCGTCTGCTACGATCGTATATTTCTTGATTAAGAGCTCGTAAAAATGTCCTCCGGAGGTGAAATATGTCCGCCGGGCCGAGAGATTAACCCACGGTTTGGAGCAGCGGTAAACAATAGGAGTTGCGGATTTGTGGAACTAATTCGTGAACGGCAAGGTTAAAGAACTTTGTTGCTTTTAATGGAGAAATGTAAATTCATTTAGATTTTTTCTGAAATATATGATATGGTGTTTTGTTTTATTTGTAATTAAACACGCTTTCCTACTCTACTGTACTTAGTTTGACACAATAACCCTTATTAGACATATAA